TTCATCGATTAGTTTTTTTAATTTTTGAATTTTTTCGAAAATCGGTTGTTCCACAATAATTTAAAAAAAAGTTCTGAATTGACTGAATGATGGTTTAAAAAATTTGCTCGAATGTCCTTTTGACCGAGTTCGAAAGTAAAGGCGATAGCAAAAATTTTCAAACAAATCAAAAATAGGATTCGACATCTTTCCCACGAGTTTTGAGCCCTATTTTTCATCACAATGTGCGGAAAGTGACAAAAAATTAAGAATTGTTTTTAAATTTCATCAGAAATTGAAAAAACAAATCGACAATTACTGTTTAGTCAGCCGAAATAATCAACTTCACCTAAGAATTTCCAGCATTATTTCCTGCCCATCAACATTCACAACTAATTACTTCAATTTGACGTATACAGGATAATAATCCCCAATTCTGGAATAAAATACTCACCATTCCTTGTGCTCAACGTAGTCAGTCCAAAAATCGCCAAAAACGTGAGTTTCTTCTCCGAAAACGTCAATTTAGCAGGTGGACCCTTGGTGATCCACAGATCAGAGTCCTTGACATCGCCCTCCCCCTCGGACTCCGAGCTGCGATTATTCCCACAGCTCTTCTCCCTCTTCCTCTTCCTCTTCTTCTCAGCGAGATCCAGGGTCGACGTAATATCCCTCCCCCTGTCAGCCAAAAAATCCCCCCTCCCATCCGCCCCCCTCGCAAACCCCCTGGGATCAGGAACATTGAGCACAGGTGGCTCGCACTTGACCGTTATTTCAGTTAAATTATTGCACTTGTCAGTGTAGCAAAAGGAACTCTTGAACTCATTACTCGAAAAATTAAGCAATTTCTCCTGGTACTTTGGAATCTGAAGTAGTACATTCGATACATTCTGACAGGTTCTGAGTACCTCCTCGGACTTGATGCTCTGGAGTATCTGGCTGTCGATCGACGTCTTGTGACTGATATCACTGATCGAGAACTTGAAAGGCTGATAGGGTACCAACGGCACCGCCGCACCGATTACATCAGGAGCTTTGGTCTCCTCCCTCTCACAATTGTCGACTCTCACCGGAGCCTTCACGTCCCCACTCACCTCACTATTGACTTTAAATTTCTCCCCCGCCGTCACAACTCTGTGATTAATCTGCTTCCCCGAGGCATCTCCATCACTGGCACTTGACTTCAAGTCCTTGGAGCTATCGAAAGCCTTACTAACATGTTTAGACATTAAGTTACCCTCGACATTACTATAAAAATTGGCATTAACTGATTTCTCATGTCCCAAGGAGTTCTCCATCGGACTAACAGCTGCACCATTGTTCCTCTGATTGCCCTCAGAATTATCCGAGTGCATTTTACCCCCATTCACACTGAACTTCTGCACATCCCCATTGCTCGAGGCGACGGGCTTGCTGACCTGGGGAAGCTGCAGAGGTGTGAACACCTGGGGCTTGTAGAGACCCCCAACTTGACTCACCACTGGATGATAATTCTGATGAGGCGCCTGATGAGAATAGACACTCGTTTTGCTATCCACACACTCCTGATGACTCTGCACACCGCTGGATGTTGTCACGACGCTCTTCAGCACATCCCCATGTCCAATTTGACTCTGGACACTGTGACTGCGTGTGCCCCAGATGGGGACTTTAGTGGACCCCCTGAAGGAGTCCTCGAATGGTCGAACGAAGGCTGGCTGCACCGATGTCACTGGAATCACTTGAGCCTGACTGATTGTTGCTGATTGACTCGTCGGTGGTGCTGATTGTGGTAAAGTTTCTTTGATCCTCAGTGGCATTGGTGGTGACTTGTGGCAGGTGGTGATGTGATTCGAGTGATTCGAGGGGGCATTTTGGGGCTGCACTGCGTGCGTTGACATTGTACCACTCGCTAGGATTGAGTTTGTCGTTGTTGTGTAGGA